GTCCCAGCCCCATGGGGATCTGCCTGTGAGTAACCAAGGTACCGGTACCGACCAATAGTGCCCCTTTCCTAGAGGTCTGGGTTTTAATTCTGTGAGCCCCTCCTTTGAGCTTTTGGATTCTTATCATCCCAGCCTCATCCGTTCCTTCCTCCAGGCCTCAGGACGGTATATGCTTCCTGCGGCTGTCACCTCTGTGTTACCTTATTGTTCCTGGTTTCCATTTTCAGTCCTTTAATATCTGTTTAACCAACCTCTATATTAAATTCTCTGTTAAAATCACTGGTGTGATTTCTGTTTTCCCGACTGGACCATTACTGATACTCCCATCTGATGGAATTTGGTTCGGTGACAACTCACTGCAGAATAGGAATAGTGGCTCTGAGGGTCACACTGTTCCTTCAGTGAGACGATCTGTCCCCACCAGCACCAATAAGCGTCGTTCAAATGGCATGTACCATTCAGTAGTGGAGAGATGATCCATCCCCAATATTGGCAGAGTCTTGTCACCACTGGTTACAGCTACTTAAAACGCCATGAGATCAGAAAGTTAGTGGGAGGCGGGGCAAGTATTGTTATATTGCGGCATGTTTTTCTTCTGTGGCTTCTTACTGCAAGGGTCCTCAATTGAATTGGGCGACAAGTCCGGTGACTTAGTACAGATTCTTGAACAACATTCCTAGGTGCAGCATGTGCTGCTTCTAATACCCAAGGAGGCCAAACAGGTGATAAGGGCTCCTTTTGAGTAGTTAGTTTTTCCTTATTAGGCTGTGTATCTCTTTGGGCTGCTGTTCATCTAGCCCCCAAGATATGCACTCCAGTGGCCTGGTTCCGGTCTCTATCCTCACTCAAGGCCCTGCCACCTGTGGACAGCGGTGCTTAGAGAGCGTGCATTATGGTGAGAGCAGTTTCCTACGTAAGGGCCACAATCAAATGTCATCAAAATAATGCAATGGGCTTTCCCAACTCATTACGCATATTGCAGGTATTAAGTATTGCTGGGGAAGTTCAAAATGACTGAGGCAGGACACCTGCTCTGCCAGGTGAAAACAGAACAATTTTATTTCTTCCTAGAGGGATCTGGAGGACACTAGCAATGTCTAGAGCAATTCTGTCTGAGAGTAATATAATGTGAGTCACATATGTAATTTAAAGTTCTCTAGGAGTCATTGTATAAAAAAAGGTAAAAAGAGACAGATCTAACTAATTTTAGTGACATAGTTTAGTTATCCCAATAGATCCAAAATACTAACATTTCAGTATTTAAATATACAAAATTAGTAAGATATTTCCATTCCTTTTTCCAAACTAGGTCTTCAAAATCCATCGCGTATTCTACACCTACAGTAGGTCTCAACAGCCCCATGTGGCTGGTGGCTGAGTAAGTGGACAGCACAGCTCTGGGGCCACATACTGAGTGCCAGCAATGGCGGCAGTCAGTTCAGTCACCTGTTGGTCTATCAGGTGTTTTGAGTGCCACGGTGGCTACTATTAAAGCCACAATGATCTTCAATCAGGGGCCATGGACACCAGAATGCCAAAGCGCCTCAAAGCAGCTGTGACCTCAATAGGGATGTTCCACTTCAAATTCAGCGTCCTGGGGAAGTCTCCTTTTTTGTGGCTATGTGAATCTGATTTCCCTGAGCACCCAATTGAAGCACCAGGCAGACACATTTGCTCTCTCCCCACTGGTCAGACTAGTCATTCATTCAGTAAAAGGGAATCTGGTGGTAAACCCCAAAGGGTGGTCATTCAGTGTCACTTACCTCATGGGTGTAGCTGCTTCCTCACGTAAGCAGTTCAAGCCCCGAGGGATTCCTGTGACCGCTGCTGGAAGTCCAACTCCGTTAGCGTACTGAAGCCCCTCAGGCTGTACCTCAACTCCCCCCCCCCCCCCCCCCCCCACCAAGCCTCTGTGTGGTACACTGCACGATGAAAAGTTTCAAATCTGAGGTTAGGTTGCACCTACTGTTGCAGTGGTACTTAGGACCAAGGGCTCTTTTCTCCCAACTTCTTTTTCCTTAGGGTTCACACGGCTGGCGGACTTGTAAGGGAGCGCCAAGGGCTCAAACTGTCTCAATCAGCCATATGAGAAGTTGTTCCAGGGCCTTTGTGGCACATGGCATGGCCATAACTAAGCATTGCAACATGTTCATCAGTGATTTCAGCTCAGCCAGGTTTCCCACTGTCAGCCCTAGGAGGGACATCGTCCATCTCTGGTGTGGCTTAGTTGATCCCCTTTGTAGTTTCCAAAAGGCCAGAGCTGGAATGAAGCGGTGGGTGAAGGCAAACGTACATCACCACGCAAAAGGCAAAGGTTTTAGCGAGGGAAAATTCCCAGCATGGGTCGGCAAGAGGCGGCACAGGGACGCCCATTCTCTCATGCAGAGAGGCACGCAAAACCACCTTGGGGCTGTATTTCAGGGGAAGGGTATTCCTTCTCTGGGAGTCTATCTTCCCACAGGGCAAGCCAACAGCAGCCTTGCATACAGAGGATCAAGTCAGGGCTTAAACACCTGCTGTCAGGGGAGCCTTCTGAGAACACGGGCTACCAGCACCTGTGACCTTGCGGGAAGCTGGATTTGGACTGTGGGGGAGAGCAGCTTCCAGGAAGCTGGATTTGGGCCCAGTCCTTCCCTCTAGCTGGTTATCAGGCAACTTGACACGGTCCCTGGAGTCATGGGGCAATCTCGTCTCTTCCTCCACACTCCTGTTTATGATCTTTCAAAGGCTCCCTAAAGTCCAACCTCTAATGTGGCACCATAGGTCCTCCTTGACAGTATCTCCAGTTTCATCTCTCTGCCTTAAATTCTATGGCCTAGCCTAGTGAACTCCCGGAAGTTTCCCGAATGTACTTTCCCATGCCTAGATCAATGACCTCAGTCCCTTTTCTCCTGGCTAGTTCCTCCAACCTGTCCTCCGTCTTAGGTTAAGATTTCACTGCACCTGAGCAGCCCTTTACTGACTCACCACCCGATTTAGACTGTCTCTCCTTTGTGCTGCCACCTCACCCTGAGCATTAGTACTTACCGTACCATATACTGGAACTGCCCATTGCCTCATCCAGCTCGCCCACTTGACACCGAGCTTCTCGAAGGTCTGAAATATTATCTTTATATCCCCAAGAAGCTTTTGAAGTGCCTGCTATATAGTGTACGTTCAGTAATTATTTAATGAGAACCAGAGGAAATCAGGTGAGTGGTTCGTTAGCACTTACTCTGCAGCTTTCTCCATCTAAAACACGACTTATCTTATTCATGCCTACACAACTCTGGAGCTAGGATACCTTAGCAACCATTTACGTAACCGACGAGGAAACCGAAACCTGGAGAGGTGAAATGACTTATCCAGTTATCACAGAGCTATGCCCTAGTCAAGTGTGGAATCTACCTCCTGATTCCCCCTTTTCCATGGCGTAATTCCTTATGTCCCTTCCTATAGTGAAGTATCTATGTTGCACTTGAAACTTTTAATGATGTATATTCCTTCCGCACTAGTACTCTGTTCTTTGATGCAGTATCTTACAGGTTTTGATCTCCAGGAAAACCTGAGAAAGATGCCGTAGTATTTACCAAGGAATAACACCGGAATGTTTTTTCCTCTTAGCATAAGCCATCCAAGTTCTGTACGATACTGAATGATGATAATATACCCCAATTCCCAGGATTCCATGTAACCACGTTCTGTTGACACTTAATCTTCCTTCCAATTTTCAACCTACCCCTGTAATCAAGTGTATGGTATACAGAAATTGGTGGGAAGACCTTTAAGCACTCAATTTTGAAGCTTAGTCTTTTAATTATTTAGCAAGTGCAACCTGCAAAGACTTTTAGTGGTGCTCCCACTAACATAAAACTCCTTAGCATAAAAAAACGGGTTTCTCCCTGTCTCTTCATGGAAAGTTCTGAGAGAGAAATGGAAAGAAAATTTCTAAACAGCCCCCAATAAAATTTTTAAACAGCCCTAAATAAGCACATAGAGGAAAAGATGCTCAAGATTTAAATACTGGTAACCGTCAAGCCTTCTGAGCAATCAGGACTAGCACCCGGTAATGGCTATTTCAGAGGAACCGGTTATCGGAGGCATCAGAGGGTCATGAGGGAAAGATGCTATTTATGCCCAGGAAACAAACTGGCTCAATAGGGACCAAATCAGTGTATTGACTCTTAAGACTCTATACTCCTAACCAGCAGGAGCTGTAAGATCATGATCATGAGAGAAATGCCTGGGTGAGCCAAGGTGAGCCTCAAGTTCACTGCTGCCAACAGGCTGTTCATGCGTAGCACTGAAAACTACCGTAAAACCAACCAAGTTACTTGAGGATCATTTCTACCTACCACCTCTAATGGACTGTGCTCAGCTCTTTGGCCTCAGGAAGAGCACAGAACTAGGCAGAATGCGTAGCAGAGAACCAAAAAAGTTACCAACATGAAAAACTAGAAAAGCAGAAAAAGATGGATTTTTCTGAGAAAAACAAAAAACATACCCATCAACATACAGGAGACTTTCCAGCATCACTGGATCATTTTGGATTCTAACACTGGGTAGAACTTGGACACTGTCACCTCTCCATTTCTATCGTTTTTTTCTAGGCTGTGCCAGAGTTCCTTGAAGTGACCACAATAGCCAATTCAGGTGCATTCTACCTACAAACCTGTCATTTATTTTATTACTGAGATACTGACATCAGAAGTGTTTTTTTCTGTAAGTACACAGACACATTTACTATTTTCCAAACAGCAGGGGATGTTCATGTGCGCACAGACAGGAGTATGTGTTTAATACGGTTTAGTGGCATCCTATGTAATTAATGTGTTGAAATCTTTTAACGGGGAACATGGAGAATTTTTTTCAAATATCTAAGGTTTTGCTTTTTTAGGGTACAGAAAAGATTATTTGCAAGGCATATATGCTTTGCATGATAAATAACTTTCCCCCCACATATCATTAATTTTTGTTATATTTAGAAATTTAAGACCAGGAGCAAACATCTGTCAGACTAATTTTTTGCTTTTTCATAAGTGCAACTTTTTAATAAAAATTTACATCTAGATAAACAATCTTCAGACTTTTGAAACTTTAATAAGATTTTAAAAACATCATGACTTTGAACTGAAAAACATACACGTTTAGCACACAAATATTGTAATATGAATCAACTCCAACTCCATTTGAAAACATGGGAATCAAATTACAGTTTTAGAAGTTAGTAATTCACATTTAAGCAAGTTAGCGCCTTGCTGAATTCAGCCTTTGTAAAAAAGAGACTTAGTGCATATTGGAATGGCACAAAGTGCTTTTGTACCATTTTGTTGATTTTTTCACCTTATTAAACAAGATCAAGTTCTTGAAAGTTGGTAGATAACGGCTAACTTCCTACGACATGTGAAATTTCCAATGGTAACAGTTACATTTTGTAACAGAACATTTTCTATAGATTTCTTTTCCTATCTTAAAATTTTAAAAGCAATCATTTGTAAGGATTGCATCAACATCAATTTAGCAGAGGAAGATCAAACTTTATTGAAACTGCTTGCATACAAAATATATTGCACTATAACCAAACAAATGTCAACATAAAATCCAATCTGTTGTCGCTAATATGTACAGAGAATATTGCCCAAGAGCAGTTACATTACAAGGTCATTCTACCTTGGTTAATTATCTACAGTATTTTAAACCAAACAGCTTACAGATGATGTGTGCAAGGTACCAATTTCTGTTTTCAAATACTATACATTCCCAGAATAAATAACTAGAAATCAACATTAATGTTTGGCAATACTTTCAAAAGACTTTTTAATATTCTTGAAATCATGTGCAGTTTGTTGCCATTTTTATACGCTTATTTGTATGCAAGGAAAAGTAACTGTAAAATGAAAATTCAAAGAAACAAACTCACAAGATACATCAGAGGCAGAACTTGGGTTCGTACGGCTCTGTACAGATTCAGTGGTCCCCCTACTCGGAGTTATTTTTTAAGAAAAATATAACATCTCAGAGTGAAGGTCCTTCACATATTTTTCCTCAGTAAATTTCATTCATTAAAAAAAAAAAGACAAAACCAAAACCCAACATGTCAAAAAACAAAAGAAAAAAAAAGTAGTATTTGTTAACCAATCCTAGTCTGCTTTCCAATTCTGCTTATACATTAGACCTTAAATTTATAGTTTATAAAACATTTAACCTGCTTCAAATGTTTCTTAGACAAAGTACCTGTACTTCACAGGATTATTATGCACACGTGGAAATGACCTTCCTATCTCCCCGAAATAAGCCTGAAACTAAAATATGAAAAACTTCACGAAACTTGGGGAGGACAAAATAAAAAAGGCTCTAAGTTAAAATTGGTCATCAGGCCAAAGAGCAGGCATATCCTTCTAACTCGACCAGGAAGGTTTGTTCCTAGCTGAAAACGTTTCAGCCTCTCTCAAATGAAAAGATAGTTATTTCTTCTCCTGTCTATACAGAAACATTACACATCCCTCTCAATAACACTATTTGTCAAACTTCAGTGCAACAAAACAAAAACAAAAACAAGTCCTATTCTTTACTGCCTAACCTGATGTTTATGTAAGGAAAAAATATGGAAAGCATGCATTCCTCTATGAAGTACTAATGTTTGACAGGGTTTGCTACATCTTTAACATTTAGTGTTTCCAACTTATCTTCCCTGAACTCTGCATCCAAATATAATATTCCTACCTGCCAAGATATAAAAAAGGCACAGATCATACAACTTTTTTTTTTTTGCTAATGAAAATGACAAACGTCACATCACACACATCTCAGGGTCCACTAAAATACTGGAAAAGTGGACCAAAACATAAACTGACACAGGACGTGAAATGACACAGTATTTTATAGACTTTTACATGATACTGAAAACAGAAGTCTAACATGATTACCGTAAGTGCTATTTATTCAGAAAAACTGAAATATACCGGTGAGTTATCACCCAGTGCAGGAAAATGGTCCAAATTAACAAAAGACATCACTGCTCAGTACTTTAAAAAATAAACCAAACTAAAATCCTTTCCTGAAGTGCTAAGTATACTTAAAAGTAATGTTTCAAAATTTCAAGATCTTTTTGTGCAAATCTGAAAATTGTTGCTTATGGTCAATACCAAAGAAAAAAAAATTTCTTAACAGAATTTGTGTTCATTTCATGCCCTGTGCCATCTTGCCTACTATTTGTCTTTGGCCTAACAAAGTTTTCTAATATGGAATAAGAATTATGGAAATGGTATAGGAAATATAACTTCAGAATTATGCAGTTTAGGGTACTCCATTCACAAGTGGTTGCTGACCATCCACGCTGTCTGGCTTTTCCTTCTTCTGGTTACGATCTTTACCCGTGCGCAGCCGATTACCTTCACTGGAGGTATTCTGTAATGTTTTAGTGTGGACACTCCTTTCATTATTGCAGTCAACTCTGATCTAAAACAAGTTATAGTTGTTATATACACAGACCATATCCTATTGTAATCTGTAATTGGCCTGACAAGAAATTTAAGCCTGAAGTGTAAATTCCACATGTTAAATGGGGAAATGGGGGTGAGAATAGAAAGAGTGCAAGAAATTAAGGTCAGGCAAGATCTTTATTTGGTTTGATTTTAAAACACTCTTCTTCAACTGGAGCACACTGGTCATCTCACTGCGTCCAAAGTTAGACAAAAACTCACAATCCTACCGTGTCTTCTTCTAAGCAGAATAAAACAGTGAGAAACAAATATTTACAATGAATTGCTATTATTCTGATTACAAGATATACATGATTATAATACTAGAATTCAAAAGAATGGGTTATTCTTCAAAGACTGTTAAACCAAAGAGGAGAGACATAATGTCTTCCTATTCCAACCTTACCAGGATAAGAACTCAACCAACTCACTTATTAACTAGCCTTCAGTTGACAGCTTTGTATCTATCATGGGTATGATTAAGTATCTCTATAAAGAGAGCTCCCAATGTCTCCCAGCAGAAAATAAGTGTTAGTTTCTAGTAGCTCGCATTTCAGTAAGGCAAGTCGGATGATCATACAACTTGAACTCTCAAGAATAAGGATGGTAGAGGGAAATCTGAAGAAACTAACGTGTGGAAAGGCTGGAATCCCAGGAAGAGTGTAAAGATGAATGCAATTTATAAAAAATTCTTAAGATTTATACAACATTTTAAGTGCCAACACCGAACACTTAAACACTGCTAACAGAATTCCAGATGCTGTACAAAAGAAAAATAACACTGACCAATGGGCCTAACACAACTACAAATATTGATCTGCTTCAAGTACAAATGCTATGTATATCCCAAAATGGTTCACTGTAATTTCAAAGTGTATTTAAGTGTTGGGTCTGGGTGCGTCTTACAAATGTTTGGTTGTCAAGGGTTCAGTGCTTTGATTCAGATCTATTTTCATACTTACATAGAACACACCACCTTTTTATTTGGTATTCCATTTTAATTATAAATATGTATCTTTTTAACCAATGCGATTAGATTGCCAAGTTCATCAAACATGTCAGTTTAAGTGGGGAATTATAAAACTGGGACATAAATGCCTCACATCTTTGTAAAGCACATGTATGTAGATTATTTCATCAATCTCTTTATCTAAGTCTAATGTCTTTTCTATGCTGGTCCTTAAGAACCCGCCAGTAGTTAACACCTACTTACAAGTGCTAGGGATTCTAAGGAATATTCTGTCATGAAGTTTCTGCTCTAAAGAAGTATCTCTCACAAATCTTGGATGTTGGTTCCAAACCACTCCATAGCCAAGAAGGAAGCCTGAATACTTGTATTAAGAATTAAAAGTTAAAGAAGAAGAGAACATGGATTCTGGGAATCAGTCACCAGGGTTCCAACATCACTCCACCATATGCTAACTATGTGACTACATAGTCAAAGGACTATGGACAAAAGACTGAATGTTTCTAAGCTTCAGTTTACTCATCTATGAAACAGAACAGTAAAACTACTTACCTTGGGGTTACTGGAGGAGTAAATGACATAACACATACACAAAGTACTTAGCGAAGGTACCTGGACATACTCAGGTGTAATTTTAAAAATGATTTAACAATGGGTTCAGCACAGGTGATGACCAATTGAGAACAGAGGCTGGCTGTAAACAAGCAGCTGACTGACTCAGCATGTACTAGCTGAGTTTCATCAGTCCTGCCTATCACGATTACTACCCATGAGATAGACACCTTCTTTTCCTTACTTTCCACTCAAAGAGGACACCCCATCCCTGCAACTCAGGGGAGGAGGGCCCCACAGGGCCTACTCAGATCATTCTCACAGTACATTCCAGAATGTTCTCTTTCTTGGGGAATCGGGGGCAACCACCAATGTGGTACCAAAGTCATAATGTGACTGTCGAAGTCTTCACATATACTCAGACTGCATATTCTCTATAGAAATCTTCCTTGTATACTTGTTACAAAGGACTAAGATTGCCCACAATTGTAACGTTGAAAGGAACATATTTCACATATACCAAATTCAGAACCTTTGAACATGTTTTAAAATAAAGTAAAATAAACTCATAAATCTCAAAGTACCGTAATTCAAACAACTGAGATAAAAAGAGGCACAGAGGTTTACCTGGAGGGATCCATCTGCTGTTCTTCCTTTAGCCTCTCTTGGATTACGTGGACGGTTATCTGTTCGGGAGTGATCATCATTCCCTACAAGGACATTTTCACAAAGTTCAACAGTCACTGATTCTGACAGGCTTAGTGGAAGTTCTTTATTCCCACATCCTCAATCTATTTAGACCAACCACAGAATCTAATATATAATCAACAACCTAGTGATTCCAGTTACATAATGGTTAATAATCTAGCATGCTACAAGAAGGCATTACAATTCTGCATCAACTGTGTTACAGATCAACCTGAGCTAATGATCAGATGTCATGGTTAGAATCCCCAAAGCAGCTGAACTGGTTATCAGTGTTCATTCATATCTTCTACATGAACCATAAGGAAGGGTGTCTAATATCCTGTTAACCACTGTACGAATGAAAGGCTGAGCCTTTCCCACGGTGACCAGTTTAAAACAGAAGAAACAGGGTCTTGGTAATACAGCATTGAATCACCAAGATTTTTCACAGAACTTCAGACAGTTGTTACAACTCACCTTTATTCCTGAATAAATGAAAACCTCTGTACCTTTGAAGCCGCCTCCACGTCCTCTTCCTCCCTGGCCTCTTCCTCCCCCGCCACGCCGTCGTCCGTCTCCTCTGCGCAGGAAGTTCTCCCTCTCTTCCTCTGTTGGAGCTAATGACCAATCACTGAGTTCATCTCTGTGGTCAGATTCTGTTTCAGAAGCATTTGATGCTTCAGAATTAGTTCCTATCGAGAGTTAAAAGTTATATACCATTGTCCGACTTAAAAAAAAAGTTAGGTTAACAGAAGCTTCCAGAGACGTTTCAGGGGTAATCCAATACTCTTCCCAATTTATAAGCCCACCAAAAAGTATTATTACTTTCCATTTTGTAAAACAAATTATCTTAAATTCAAAATAAAGGGTTTCAGAATATTTGAGGTAATTTTGGTTTTAAACATTTTTGGTTATCATTAAAACAACACAAGGTATTTCAGCAGCCATCTAAGTTCTACCCTGAGTGCGCCACGTCACTAAACAGCTGTGCTCCTTTACACATCTGCGCCCTCTGAGGGAAAGCTGTCTACAACAGTTACATACTGTTCCTTGATAAGCAAAACCTCTATAAAGAGAGTTCCTTTTAACAAGGCTTGGCCCAGGGACAGAGGGGATTGCACACATTTTGGTCACCTCTGAGAGGGTGGCAAAGAAGGCCACCATGGCAACTGTCTCAGGGCAGGATCTCTTGTGGGATGAGGGACTGGACCCAGCTGAAGGGGTATGTGCGTGCCTGATGCTTGCTCCATAACCTTCCCTCCCACTCCTGTTGGAATAACTGATCATTAATACAGGAATTATTATAAGAAACTCGTTATGCCTGAGGGGGTGGGTTAATGACAAAGGGGATGGGAGTGGGGAAAAAAAAAGAGTTCCATGGTGAGGTGGGACTTCACCAGCAAAAAGAACAGACTGTTGGGAGGGGTGAGGGGTGAGGTTCAAGGTTGGCCTTAGGAGTAGGTGTGTCTCTCCCCCACTCCAGAACATCAACTCTACTACCTCTCTCTTCCTCTGTTGGAGCTAATGACCAATTATAGCTTCACCATTATAGCTTCATTCCTGTGGATCTTGAAGGCTTTTCCATCTTTAAAGAGTTCCTTTTTGAAATGCAAATATTTGTGAGATGGATTATACCTTATACCATCATTAGCAAGTTACATAGTAGATACACAGTTGAGCAAGAAAGACAGTGGGTACTGGCAGGTGGGGATAGCGTTCAGTGAAAGGTAGTGGGAGAGAAGAAAGCAGCACTGACAGAACAGCTGGGAAGGCAAAGAGAAACTTCGCCTACTTCTTGACTGTGCCTAGGGCTGACTTTGGCCATGCCACTCAAAATCACCTTATGAGCCACAGAATGCAGACCCCTGATTTACACAGTCCATCCAGCAAGTATGACCAGCACATGTCTGACAAAAAATGAGCCATAGTACACAAATAAAAAGGTTCTGGCTATACAGTAGGAAAATCAGGAAAGGCCTTAAGAAAGTCATCAACACACAAAGGCTTAAGCAGATTTACCCCCAGCCAGAATGTGGACAGAACTCACACCTGCCCTGTGAACTCTATGTGTTATGATTAGGTTTTTACTCTATATGTCTCTTGCAACACAATTTGACCCACTGTGAATTGGAAACCATGTAGTGAGAAATTGTTATAATGGGGTTCTAATGAATATTAGAGATTAGCAGCTATTAAGTCTAGGAACAGATAAAGTTACTGAGTAAAATGCTTAGTTTGTACCTGAAGTATATCCAGGACCGCGTCTGCCGTGCCCCCTATTTCTGTAAGGTCTACTACCTCGACCCATTCCTTGACCATCATCAGTCACATAGCCTTTTTCCTTATCTGTACGATTTGGTGGTGGTCTAGAACTAGCTCCAATCTGTCGCAACTGCTCATCAATTTGTAATCTCTCCAAACGCAACTGGTCTACTTCCTATTTAAAATATACAAGATAACAGTAAAAATAATTTGACATTTTACTTAATAATACCTTTCTCCTTTTCATCAGATAAAAAGTATACTGGAAATATTTCAATTTCAGTTCTAAATTTACAGTAAACACTGTTACACAGAATCATCAGGAAATTGAATGGTCTCCTTAAAAAGAAAATTACTATAGATAACAGATTATTGATGTCCAGAATTAGAGATATAACAAAAATACTCAGCATTAAAATGATACTGAATAGAATTTAAAGTTGTTTGACCTGGTACTATTATCCAATAGAATCTGCTAAGGCACAGACATACTCATTTTGGGACTTCTTGATGATAGGATATTGAATAAAACAACTCTAAAATGTATGAATACAGATAAACGACATTTAAGGTTTACCAGCTGACCTTAAAAATCACACAGTGTAAATAATCTTAACTGAAACAGATTTGCCAGTTAGTATCTTAATTTACAAAGCATTGAGTTTGGGCCATCTTCTGTTTTCAAAGAACATACATATACTACAGCAGGTCTTTGGATATGATTATACAATGAAGGAACAACTATTTTTAACAAACTGAAAATGCTCATATTCTTTATATGGCAGGGGACTATTTAATAGCTGACCAAAAAAGTTAGGTCCTCCATCACGCCTTGAAAACCTCTTACAGACTACAACTCTGCTAGAACAAGTATGACAAACAGTATAAATTCAGTTGATCAAAAATACACCTGGGGTCCACTGAGAGACCCTTACACACAGTGCTTCCAATATGTTGGGTTCTGTCAAATCCAGATGAAGCCTCAATTCTAACCCTTGTCCTTGCAAAGGACCCACAGACATCTCATTTACTGGCTAGAGGGAAGTGGATCCATAACTACAGTAGTACTGGGTGTCTCAGTCAAGCAGAGGCCATCATAGGGACTGTCTACATGAACAGTCATGGAGAAGTCCCTGCAAAGCTAAGTTCCTAAAATCTTGGTCGTGGCAGCTTCTGGAAGAGAAAGGGCAGGTAAGGATCTAGATGAGTTTCATCAGTGCTCTGAGGCAAAATTTCTGTTTTACAAAGGACTTGAGCAAAGGAGAGCCTGTAGCTAAGTGAGTGGATTACGCCAAAAGTACAGTTATAGCTCATGGAACGGGTATGTCTTGCAAAACAGAATGGTAGTCCAGGTTCTCCCTGTGGGGCAAAGCAGTCTCCTTTTGGTGAGAGATGCCAGGCCCAATCAAGGGAAGATCTGGTGATGGAAAGAATGGCAACAGGACAGCTACTGATGACCAAAAAAGATACTCAAATGTGAAGAATAAATCAAAAGGTCTAAGAGAGAACATTAGTCAAAAGAACAAGGGACTGATACAGTGCAATCCTAACTCTCCAGGATGGTCTTCATAATTATCTAAGCAAAAAATATGGAGAAAAACACATACGAAAGATAACACATAAAACACATTTTAAAAACAAAGACAAATAAGCAAATCAATGGGGTATCCTACCAATGCGAACCTTGCTGGATGAAACCTTCACACTTGCAAAGACTAACTGAGCACCACAAGAATGAATGAAATGCCTAGCTATTGTACTTTTCTTTCTTATTTGTATACAAGTAGAAATTGTTCAATTTTATTTATTTCAGCAAAAAATTAAGATAGCATCATAAATAAATAAAGTTGGACTATTTTTCAAATACTGTTTAGTGCCAGTTACATTATAATCTTGATACATATGTATATAAAGAAGAAATTATAAAAGTGACAAGGATAAGATTCCATTTCATTGAACTATAGAACATTTTGGCCAAAGGGAATTTTCAAAAGCATCCAGTCTAGGGAAGTGACTTGCCTAAAGTCACATAGCCAGTTCCTGGCAGAAGAGAGACTAGAAGCAAACTGCTGGATTGCCAATCCAGTGCTATTCCCACTGTACTTTGTAGCCTCCTGGTTCCTGCTTTCCAGCTTGCAATCTAGAGGAGGCATAACCACACAAACACTGGCTAAAATGAGCATTTATAAGAAGACACAAATTGTTTCTATTTTCTACCACAGAGTATAGAGAAAAATATGAAGGGTAAACATTTAAACAGAGGACTTCATGAAACGCTGGGATTTCCTTGACAAATGACAAAAGAGAGACAACAAAGGCAAGTGTTACAGATACAAAATTTGGCCTGGAAAAAACTCACAAAGGCTAGAAAGGATCAACTGGATGACAAGGCTATGTAAAGGATTACCTAAATTGAGTGTAAGGCTTCAGAAGAATACTGGGAAATGAGGGAATTTACTGAGAACTGGAATATTGGTCCTTAAATTTATAATGATGAAAAACTGACTTGAGTTTTCAGAAGGAATATAGTAAGCTAAACAAAGTATTTTCTTTATTATCTTTTATAGGTCTTTCATTGTAACACACAGAATGAATCTTAACTGCTGACAGATTTATTATGGAGTTTTTATATTTTAGTGCAAAAGGATTAGAAGTTAAGGTTCTTCCTATTCTCACCTTTAAATAGTTCAGGTGATAATCCAAAAGAACAGTGGCATTAGCGATGCTGTCCTTTGTTCCCACAAAAACAAATGGTACCATACCCTGAAAAAGAAATGGTAACAATGATTCTATAAAATTAATGAGGGATTAATGCGAAAAAATGCAAATAATGACTAAATCTCTAGCTCAGGGTCTGACAAACAGTAGATACACAAATGTTTGCTGAAAATATAAATCAATACACGAAAACAACAATAGTTGGTATATTTTGTACATTTACTGTGAATAAGGACAGATCAATATAACAACCCCTTAAATGCATCATGTTATGTTTTAAACACTACTATTAAATGTTGGCAAAGTCACAGATTATGTAATTCAAAATTATACAAGCTTTAACATGAGATGTACAAACAAAATTAATACGTTCAAATACTCTAAATCATTTACTACAGGTTTTATCTAGATCAAATTCTTTAAAAAGTAATTCAAAATTAGATACTAGGGTACAAGAGTGACAACTAAAATCAATTTTGCTAACCAAGTCAACAGAATACAAACAAAATACAAACAAAAAGAACTAGGATAAATTAAAATGCATTCAGTAGTCTGACAAGAAAAAAAAAAACAGGCACATCCATAAGTATAAAATTTAGCATTTCAATACATTTCAATAATGTATTCTGAAAATTACAAAAGGCTGAATCATAAGAAAAGTTCGATCTTCTCTCTGTGGTACTATTTTATTATATTAAAATACTAAAAATATATACTTCTAGCCCATCACCATAAATGAGGAAAAAACTTTATCTAGTCACAAGTTACAGGGAAGCCTAGGCCAGCTGTACAAACTAATAGCTGGCAATTATGACATCAAAGTTGAGCACAGTTCAATATCTTGCTACTGAAAGAATACACATGTACACATGGTTACTGATATTCACAAGTGACTAAAGAAAAGCGTACAATGGCTTTGAGGTGGAAACACAATTTTCTAGGCAAAGCTTCTAGGTGTGAAAAGCCAAGATGCTGTCCCTTTAGCAAGTATCATTTTATTAAAAAGAGCATTCATCTGATCGGTGTGGCTACTGCTGGGCTGCTTTGTTTGCTTGCATTCAGTACACAGCATCTAAAATGTATCTGTGGCTAGAGTAGGCTTTTTCTTTTTCCTTCCACGTGAACGTGGCTATTGATGGGGAACAAAACTGAACAATTAAGAATACTACTTGCAGACTGACCTTCATCTGGTAGGCAAGGCACTGCTTCCTAGTAACAGTGATCACCTGAAAACCAGCTGCCACTGAAAATCCGTGGGCTTCATAAGGACTTTTTTTTGCATTGCATAATATATGAACTACAGAAATAATCAGGTCTGCGAATCAGATCTCTTCTTCTCAAAACATTTTTGACTGTTGAGTTTTTTCCCCAACTGGCTTTGTTACAAAGCAGTTAACCATATTATTCTCAAAAATATCATATGATGAAATGCTGCACCCTTCCTTCTGGATCATACAGTACAAAATAAGCTTTAAAACCCTATGTCACAGATTCAGTTTGATTGACTTCGGAGTAAATAACTTTAAAACATCTTCTCTTTCAATGTGTCCACTTGCAGTTATATTTCTCTTTATAAAACGGCATTTTTGCTTTTAATCTCTTGTGAGTCATAACATTTTTCCCATAAATAATTCTCACAGGCCAAGCAGGAGGCCCTGGCCTCAAGGAACTCACAACGTGGCTGAAAAGATCAAAACTAATGGCTACGCAGTAAGTGCTACCATAGGGGTGAGCATATTGGAGCATGGAATGGGGAAAGGCTCTTGAGCCAGTCAGGGGGAGGGGATCTGAGGCAAGTACACAAGGAAAGCACAAGGAGTAAGGTCAAAGCAAGGTGGCAAGTTGGAGGAAGCAAGAGCGCTCCAGGCGGAGGAAACACATGCACATGTCTAGAAGCAACAGAGTATAACATGTTCAGAGAACTCTGCTTCAGTACGGCTCAAGCCTCTCTAGAATGAAAGGAAGAGGACTGGTAAGAGATGATAGGTGACGGTGAAAGAAAGGCCTCATAGGCAACAGGAAGGCATCTGAGCTTTCTCCAAGGGCAATGGATCCACATACCCACAAAACACTCCCCCACCATCCCCCAACCCTGATGGTCATGTGTAGTCCTTCTTAACAAGGGGAATAAACATTAAAATATAAAATTCAAATGTACTTTTCAAGGAATGTTCTCCTACCTGCCAAACCTTGAGTTCAGGTTTCTGGGATTCCCCTGCTACAAGTGATGAAACCACTAACAGCTAAAGCAGCATAAGGAACGCAAGTGATGTTGTTAATTGTAACAAGTGACACCGAGAAGCCTGAACGCAGGACTGTCACTGCAGGGCTTCTAACCCACTGCTAAACAGTTAGGTTCGGTCAAATATTGAAAACCAGTTTCTAAAATATGGCTTTACATAGTAACTAATGCATCTAACAGAAGGCATATTTTGGGCTATTACAACCTGCAAAATTTCAAGAGAGACAGCATGAAAAAATGAAAGTCCACCCTTGAAAGAAGACTGTGACCATTAAATGCAACCCTGTAGTTTATGTTTACAGCATAAGTTCTGTCACTGTGAATAAGCTGAAAAGTAGGCAGCACTTTGGTTTGTAATATCTCATAAGCTGGCAATCAGATTTGAAAAAAACACAACATGAGTAGCCTATAAGCCTAACCAGAGAGAACACCCGAAACACCAATTGTGACATCTGGGTTGAAGAAATTACTTTTAGCATAATTCAAAGTGACAAATATTTCTTACCCTCTGCACTTTTGTACTGTTAGGCTGAGAAAAATGAGTGCTGTTTTCCTTTATATCTATATGTTTTTTTTCTTCCGAGGGAGTAGGTCCAACTCTTGAGTTACTGGAAGGTAGGGAATTTGGTGGCATAATTTCCTTGGTAAAAAAAACACAAGAGAAAAACAGACCAACTTTTAAGACTTTATTTAGCTTATTATAACGTTTTGGTAAACAAAATTACAGAATGCAAAAATTACGCAGTAAAATCTCCAAAGTATTTAAGTTCAGCAAAAAGAATCTTTCCCAAAAGGAGGTTGGTTAGACAATATGTGAAAATTATGGCAATTTGGGGGGATTTTATTTTAAACCCTACCATTCTACAGAAGAGCAGGTCCTTACCTCCCCAACTCCATACAAATACTTTAAAAGTTGCTACCACACTCATGAATATAAAAGTGAGCATTATAAAATTTAAAGATTGGGAAGAGATGTTATGCCCAGATAAAAATTTACAACACACAAAATAAACACACATACACTTAAACTAAAAAAGCCAAAGGATGAAAGCCAGACAACCTAACCAGTAACCCAATTTTTGCTGTGTCAGCAACATTAAGTAATATTTGAAAAGTGCTTTACACTTTTCTATATTTATGACTCCCCATTTTAAAGACTGAGAACAAGCGTTAAAGGAGTTAAAAAGTGACTAATCCAAAGTCACAGCACTGGAGACTAGACAGAGGCCATTATCTACAACTATACCGTTAACTGGCATGCCTCCTAATCAGAATTTTTACATTCACATTATGTGTGTATTACAGAGGCCTATAAATTAATGTCAAATAAAACAATAAAAAATGTTTACTTTTATTAGACAAACTAGAAACAAATACACCAGAACATACCTCTTCTTGTGGAACATTTTTCTCATTTTCGGCCTCAATTCTCACCCTCACAACTCCTGACTTGTCCACAATCTCCTGAATCAGTTTTCCATTTTTGCCTATTACCTTGCCTAAGTTAAGAAATGAATAATTCATGTTTGGTTTTAAAAACACATGCCCCAAACCGGTAAGCACACCCCACTGTAAACTATCACCTTATTTTACATATATATGCACACACATAATTATAAAATCTCAACACCAAAACAGAGACTCTTTTCAAAAAGACAAACTGGCTTTCCGAGTTAGTAGGTGGTCATCTGTAATCTCTTTTGGTCAGGTATTAGAGTGGATGAATACTCAACTGATTGGGTAATTTTGAATTTTTAAGGCAGTTCAAAGACAGGCTCTTATTTTGCACAAAAGGGTATACTTTGAACTTGCTGGTACAGTGGTGCGTATCACTCTTTCGGCAAAATTCTATGAAAAGAATTAAGGAAAAGGAAAGACAACAGAAAATACACTTGCTTATTTATTCGACAACTTCAATTCTACCTGTACCTGATTTAAATCTGCTTCTTTGCCCACAGTAAATATTTCTAGAATTTTATGTGGCACATTTATAAAAGATATTCTAAGTTTAAGAGTGGCCTAAACAGCCATACACCCATCTAAAAGATGTGTACATTCTTCAGGCCAGTGTGTTAGCAATATTGCTCCTGTGCACTACCCACAAATTCTATCAGTATATCAAAGGGGGAAGGATTAGCTACAGAGTGAAAGATTAAGAAATCACATTTTTAGATAACTCAAAACCACAACAAAAAAGCTTAAAACCAGTTCAAGGTTAAGTATTATTCAATAACATCCGTTAAAACGCCAAAGACTTCAAATACCAGTAATGAATAGGCAGTCGATTCTTTCCCTCATTTTATAAAATTCAATCACATACTTAACTGGGAAATGACTGCTGTCACAGCCACCATCACCCATTAGTGTAAAGCATCACATTACAAATGTAAGAACTACCGATTCTAGAAATCTACATGTGAATTACATCTGATTCCAAAGGCTCTCCCAAGGTACCCAAAAGCACCTTTGCACTGGCCACATGCATCATGTACTTGCCACATCATCATCAACTCATCTAAGGCAGGAATGGGGAAAAAACTGGAAGCCAAACCTAGATAAGAACCCAGGGAAAGCCTTCTTACAACAGGATCTGGTGGTTCTTCTCATCAGCATAGCCTTGGTACTCTTGCTGTGTGCGGCAGCCTCACTCACCCCCATAACCTCTTTCGACTGGTCAGTGGTCAGGGAACAGAACTGACACCACTAAATCAGGACTCCTGATCTAGGTCCTTTCGTCAATTAGTTCTGCTCTTCTCTTCAAATGAAAAGGGGCTGGGGGAGGAGAGAAGTTACATGGAGTCTTCCCACAACTTATTTTTTATCTCTAACACTTATATTTTCATGAATTAATGCTGATTTTAAAAAAGGTCCAAACGAATCAGCAAAAAGAAAAATGAGATTTTGGCACACGTTTAACTTATGTTTAACACGTTTAACTTAACTATCCTAAGTAGTGTGTGTTAACTATAGATGATTGAATAATTAAACCAACTCAATACCAAAGTGGGTGAAAAACAAGCAAATTTTTAGATAAGAAAAATAAATCAGTGTACATACTTGTGAACGTGAATCTCTCACAAAGAGATCTTGTGAAAAATAACGAGATCATAAAACATATTTTGGGACTCAAACTCACATAATACTGATTAGACATCTCCCTAAAGATCTGCCTTGCCAAACCATCTTACACAAAAACACTTTCCCGGGCCAGCCCGGTGGCGCAGCGGTTAAGTGTGCCTGTTCCACTTTGGCGGCCCCGGGTTAGCCGGTTCAGATCCCGAGCGCGGACGTGGCAGCACTCGGCAAGCCATGCTGTGGTAGGCGTCCCACATAGAAAGTAGAGGAAGATGGGCACAGATGTTAGCTCAGGGCCAGTCTTCCTCAAAAAACAAACAAACAAAAAACACTTTCCGAAAACTCCCAACATTCCCATTGTTAGAGCAGACAATCTCTAAAACAGAACTGTTTTACTTTAATAACTAGAAACAAAACAAAAATCAGGCTGATTGTACTTCAGCAGGCTTTCTGGTGAAAGGTCACTTCTGGGACCCTCTTGTCTCTAGGCAGGTTCACAGGCAGAATCTACTTTTCATAGCAAATAACCCAATTCTACATTACACAGCTATTTCCAAATGCCAACTGACATCTGACTATAACGTCCCTCAACTGAATTGGATGAAATTGTTTTGAAGAAGGGGAAGGAGGGAGAACTAACATTTACCGAGTCCCCTCCTATGTCCAGAGCTTGGGTAATATCTGTATCTATCTGTATCTTTCTATTTAATTATCACGACAACCCTGTGAGGTGAACACTATCATCACATTTGTTTCAGGGTTGAGGAAAGTAAGACTAAGGAGAGCTAAGTGAGTTGCCCAAGGCCGAATACCTATTAGAAAGTGACGTAGGACTGAAATCTAGATCCAGTTCCAACATCCAAGAACTTTCCCCACCATCATGCCATCTCAGGAAGGAACGCCACTGAATCTGACACCTAAGTTTCTATTTGGTAATTTCTGAAAAAAGTGTCTATTGACTATATTTTATAAGAACTTCTAAATTTAAAATAACTTTTCTAACTATAAAATGAATTGCTTGACAAACTGTAAATAAGAGGGAAATAAATATCATTCATAATCCCACTTACCCTGAGGTAATCAGCATAGTGCTGTACATACATTCTCTATACATACAACTGGTATGCAAGTTACCTCAATAACATTAGTAGTGTTCTTTAGTTGTCTGCAGTATACATCAAGTGAATAATTCTACATTATTTCACTACTATTTATACTTTATCTTCAATCAAACTAATTTGCTTTGCGAGAAAAACATTATTCCAAGTATTTCCTAATGGCACAGAAAGATGTTTATAATTCTATGCTGACAAAAAGTACAGCAAAACAGGCTAAGCTGGACTGAAACTACGTGAACAAAATGCACAGAAAGTCCTTATTTTCTCTTTCTTTAAACTTTCCAAAGGGCGTGCATTACTTCTCATAATCAGTCATGACGTCAAGTTGAAAAAAAATAAAACGCATAGGAAGTATGTCCCAATTTCATTTATAAATTAAAAACATATGTAGCGTTCTTGACAAAACCGCACATTCCTTTAATATGTTCTACTAAAGACATCTGTCGCATGTGAGGGTACTGGTGAAGGGTTCCAAGGTATTCGCTGGTGTTCGTGGTGGTGATGGTCGTGAAACAGTACTCAAGTCAAAACGAAGAATTACTGTCGATGTTGCAGAAAGCCCCACAGACATTCAGTGTTACCTCTAGCTTTGGAACTTACTAGATTTAAGTAACTTACATTCAGATGTTCAACTCCAAGATAATTAAGAATGCTATCATTTTATAGATCCATTAGAGAGATCATATACTAATCTACTCCAAATTACAAGGTCCCCAAATGTCATTCATTTAAAAAAATATATATTTAATTTTGAAAAAAATATATTTAATTTTAAGATATATAAAATATACAGTAAAGAGGCTGCGCAAAATTTATCCTTCCAGGCACTAGTAGGTTTGAACTAGCAAAGCAGTATCATTTGCATACCTTCCGAATATGTAATCTTTGCGTATCACATTTACCAAATATTTTCTGTACACCATAGCAACACACCATATTTCAAAGATTAAGCTTCAATTAAATGGTCACTCGAGTGAGTGAAAATGGAATTCTACCAGCATAAATTGTTTACCTAACTTTTGTTTTTGTAGTGGATGTCAACAGCAATTTCTGACTCACCTACTAAGTTCCTTGGAACTTGTATGACATCTTCAGCAAATTCAAGGAAGCTTCTGGCCTTTTTCACTGCATCTTGATCCTAATAAAAAGGGGGAGGAGATTTAAGACAAAAGATGAGCCATCTGAAATACTGGTTTTATTTTAGGAAAAAAAACCTATTTAGTAAAATATTTACCTCTCCATAAATATGAAATGTGCAGGTGTCTTCATCTAGATCGATAGCTGTGACTCCTGGTACTTTTCTAGCTTGCTGAATATTAGCACCATGAGTACCAATCGCTAGACCCATCAGATCTTCTCGTACGATAAATTGTTCATGAAACCTTGAGGCAAGTTGCCTTGAACTCTGAAGAGAAATGCACATCTGATTAAAATTCTTTATCAACTATTAAGACAACTGTATTTAGGTCAGCCATGTAAATTATCTTGACCCTATTTATCAGGGGCCTATCAATTAGTTTCAGTCAGAAACTAACAGGTTTTAGAAAATACCTCCCAAGGCATAAGTACTTATTAGGTTACTGAAAGTCTATGTCATTTGATATATTTTTGTTAACAGGAAAGGGCTTGTTGACAATTTTCCAAGGTAACTTTTGAAAACCTATTTGCAAGGCTGCCTTAACCAATGACATCAACAATGTAACAATTAAGAAGCAGATCAAATGTTCCCAAATAAAAACCAGCTCACTGGGTCTGACAGACTCAATGTTATTTAAGTAAAAGTATTCTTAAATACCATCTTTACAGAAAATTGTATTCAGTTCATTTTTACGGTGTGTATATATATGTTTTTTTTCTGGAAACAGTGCTAGTTATATAACTTATCACTAGATACTGTGGTCTAGACATCCCTCTGATGAAGTGATGACATTAAAACGACAGCCTCCCACCACATCCCCCAACCTAAGAAAAGGAATCATAAAAACTGTTGGTACAGTAAGTTAATTGAATGATTACAGAGTGTCAAAGATTTACAACTTATCTTACATATGTGCCTGCAACCTAAAATGAGATCAGAGTCTGTAAGACCTTGTGATCTGGATCCACAAGTATGATCAATTCTTTCAAATATTCGGTAATGACTGAACTAAGTTACACTAACACGCCAAACTTGTGGATAATTGCTCTCTTTAAATAGAATTATCAAAATTTAATGTTTAGTTCTAGCATGCCATTAATGAAAACCAAACATATTAGTGGCTCATGTTGAAAAATGGAAATTTCTTATCTGAATATGTGGATCTCTTTAATATTAGTAGTGAGGAAAGATAGGCATGCACACTAGTTTCTCATTATTCAACATATCTGATAATTTGAATGAATGAGTGTAACTACTGCAAACAATTTTTAAAGTATAATATCCTTTTTGTAGATTAGAGTAACAAAATGTATCAAATATTCCTAGGACTTTTCAAGAAGTCATGTTTTTTGAGTCCTGGTTCATTCACCTGGTTCATTCTTTTCATTGATAATTCACTGATAAATGGTAAGTCAAAGGTATGATAGATCATTTAAGAAGAATGAGATGTTTCAGAAGAGGCATATGAGCATATTTCCATAATACTCACAATGACAGTAAGGAGGCTGTTCTGGCCTAAAAGTTATGGAGAATAGCTAAAGAAACCACAAACTTGTGAACACAAGGACATCAAGGACGAATGAGAGCAAAAACTAATTTAAACAGACCTCTGTGGCCATAAGGAAAACAAAGAGCAAAAGGAGATATCAATGTCTCCTCCCCTGCTAAGAGTTCAGCAATCACACATCAAGTTAGAAGGTGGCAAGTTTCACAGAGTTTTACAAGAATAAAGACTTTACTACCTTCTCTGTTAAAATGCAGTTTGGAACTCTTTTTTTTCTTTACTATTTCAACTGCATGGTGTTTTCCCTCTAATGAAAGGAATAATGATAAGGAACTCTGGAATCTGACAGTAATATACTTGAGTTGGCACATTAAACTAAAATCCATTTAGTTTCTATGGTAATGGATGGAAGTACTAGATAGTTATCAATGAAAATAAATGTATGGTGATGGAAATTATTGGAGGATTAATAAAAGTAGATAAAATGCACCTTAAGAGACGAAATAGTAAGTTAGGGAAATAGCCTCTGGCAGGAATCTGAAGACAGGAGTTTTAAAGAGTGACAACCAATTAGAATGAAGAAGTTCTATACCCTTTTAAACAGAGATAAACATACATAATGAAAGGAATATGATTAGATATTTAAATACTCTCTAGTACTTTAATGATAACATGTTATATGGAAGAAGCATTGCCTCATTTTATTAGCAGCTTTGATGAACTTCTAGAAAAAGTGAGTTGACCAGAAGTTTCTTAATATACATAAACTGCTGCTTAATTCTGAAACCTCAGACAAAAAACTTTAGTATGATTATGCTTTGTATAATTTTTCAAAATACAGAATCTAAGGAATTGCTAAGAAATAGTAAATAAAGGACAAGCTGCCCATACTTAAGTTTTGTAACCGCACACATCATTTCTAGATAGCCGTACAAGCAGCACTAGGGAAAGCCTCATACCTCTAGTTGCTTACTGGCTTCTTCATTTCTCAGTATCAGAGACAGCTTAGTGCGCAGACTCCGAAAGTGCATGTCAATCAGCATGTGTGCTCGCTTTGAGGTGACTTCATTGATGGACTAAAGGATATAAATTCACACCATTATTATCAAAGCAAATGCCCCAAATGAAATACGACAAAATAGACAACTCAAAAACACTCACCAAAATGACAAGCTGATAATTTTCTGGATCATAAATTACAGAAAAGGCACCAACTGCCTTTTTAAAGTCCTTATGTGCCGACTCTTTGGCACACCTAGAAATAAACAGAATATGTATTGTGAAGTTAAGATGAATGATACCAACTACTGGCATAAATATACGCAGAGAGATCTGCACTTAGAAGAATTATGGATTTCTATTAAACTTGATTTATGCAAAATACGCTATATCCATTTAAAACTTTAGTTCCTTTGCTGTCTATCTCTAAAATACTTAGCCCAATCAAGAATTTGAGAGTACAGAGAAAGGAAAAAAAAGTTATGCTCTTGAGGGATTCCTGGTGGTCTTAGATCACATATTTAGCTGAGCTACTCTCCCCTGCAGGCTTTCTGATTTCAGTTACAAGTAAGACAAGTCAGTAATTTTCTTGCATCAACTGTTGAAAACTTTTGGGGATAGCTACAGGTTACCCGATTTTGTTTTGTTGTTTCTTTTCTAAAGAAAAACTGCTGACCAATTTAAGGGAGAGAAGAAGTATATGAATCAGAAGGCACAAAGATGTACACACATACACAATTCTACAATCAAAAAGCAGAATTTCTATGTATTCTGAACTGCAAGTTAATGTTTATCTAAAGTGACATTCCAAATCAACATTATTATATCCCCTGGATGAAATCTTCCAAAAGCAATCTCTTATCTAAAGTCTTTAAGCATTACTCCAGATTAAGGATTATACGACAGAGATGACCTTTTGAAGCTTCTTTAGCTCTTCTTACTACACATTTCTCTGAAAATATTAGTTAAAAGGGAAAAAAATCTGGAGAAATCTTCATTGTCTAGAATTTGATTTGTGACTTATGACAGAAAATCTTATTAATCACTTTCAAAATCTTAAAATTCTATGAACAAAGTTAATTTTAGAAAACAAATGTACATGAGCCACGTATCTAGCCAAGTAAGTTTAAACAAATGCAAGGCTGGCTTGATTATATAACTGGAAAAAGCTAACTATGGTTTTTTTCATTACTTTTGCAACCATTTTTAAGGTCATCGAATTTAAAAATTGATTTATATTATTTTAAAATCATACCCTTTTAAATGAATGGCATATCACCTGTGCGTTCTCAGCGTTTCTCACATACCAACTTACATTTGTCGTAAGTCTTCTGGCACATCCAGTTTGATTTTATGGAAAGTATCTTTTGTGGCAGGTTTGTTGGGATTAACTGATCGTAAACGTTCAATTGTGACAATTTCATTGTACGTGGCATCACATGCTGCATATTCTATCACGTAAAACTGAGAGAAATAAACAAAAGTCATTCCTGGTCACGGTATTTAAGGTAAGAGCAATAAGCTATACCTACTCAGTTATTTTTAAATTCTCTAGAGGAAAAAAAACTGTATTTGATCAACATACGAAACATTCTGAACATGTAGAGAAAATATTTTAATAAAATGACTCAAGTTAGATATTACTTTACAAAAAGAAATCCAGACTGAAATGCAGTACCTGGGTTCAGAAAAGGGAAACAAGTATAAAAAATTTTAAATATGCATTTTCCTACCTCACCCTTTATCATCCTCACTTTAGCTAACCACCAACAGCAAGGCTCTTTTTCATTTGCTCTGGAATAAACCTATACAAAAATTACAACATAGAATATTTCATGATTAACATCATTCAGAAATCCATAGATTATCAGTCATCGAGGAAAATGTCTCAAAATGACCTTAGGTGTCTTCCAAACCCATATGCCATATACCTTAAAGCAGACCACACCCCTATAGCTAGACATAGATACATAAGCAGAAACTACCTGATTACTAGGGAGATTACCTAGAGAAAGCACTTTCTTCCTTCTCTGTTCTACATCAGTAATAATCAGTATTCTGAATGAATACGAATGGCTCAAGAAAAGCTGATTGTTCATAAACCTGGGCATACCTTCCTTGGGTACTTTGTGAGTGATGAAAATCTATCTGAAAATGTACAAGCAAACTTGTTTTTCTTTTACTCTAATAAGCAAATAAATGACTGGAAGTTACTGACCCTGGCCTACCATCTGGGTGCACAGTCACTAAATGGATAAGGCCGCTGACCACTCAGCCCACTAAGGATACCCCCCGGTATTCATGTCTCTGGGGACTAAATGAACAGATCCTTGGTCACTCTCTGGTCTCCTGTGCCCTCTTCACTAAAATGGACAACTCCATGCTGGCAATCCTTTAGACACTACCTTCCTGCTCTCACACTCTGTGGATCAGTTCTTCTAACCGATCTCTCTGGGGACCACTTCAGAGTTCACTTACGATGTGCAGCATGGAAGCTTTTGTGAAGACACCAGCAAAGCAAGGTTAATAGGAAAAGAGACAACACAATGTACATGGAGAGAGATACAGAGACTCAGAAGCAGAAAGAAGATTCAGGGAAGACAAGGGGGATAGGAAGGAGAGGACAGGATAGAGGAGAGAGATACAGAGCCTAAGGCTGACAAGCAACTCAAAGCTCCAACTCCTATCTCCCTTTGACAAGTGAAGTTAATAGTTATACAACACAGTGACTAAATACAACATCATTCAACCTACCTTTCCCTCTTGCCTCCATCACTTCCTCTTAACTTTCCTCTAGCCAGAGAAATAACCTCGGTTAATTGTTATGTAACACAACGAGGTCATCCTGGCAACAGTGTCTCATTGGTCTCTACCTGTCACATGACTAAGTTGGGAAAAAAGTCTCCTTTATCCACCACTATTATTAGCATTCCTGATATAGACAGACCAAAAGACCTGGTGTCTAGCCTCCCTTTTACAACGTAAGTTAATAGTTATATACACAGTGACTAAATACAACTTAATTTAACCTACTTTTCCTTCTTGCCAGGTGGCCATCAATCTCCTTCAACTCTGCTCTGGCCAGAGCAAGAACTTCAGTTATGTATTACTGTTAGGCAATACAGTGAGGTCACCCCAACTACAGCATCTCACTGGTCACTACCTGTCATGTGACTCAGTTGTAAAAAAGTCTCCTTTATCCATGCAAACACTATTAAGAGCACCCTGATACAGAGAGACCACATGCCTGGCCCTTGCCTTCAGGAAGCTTGCAGCTCCTAGGGAAGTGGACAGCTAACAGTCCTCAAGTCCAGACAGCGTGTGTTCCCTACTGGGATCCCTCACAACACCAAGCCCGTTCCTTACACCTAGTAGGTACTGAGTGCAGCTCTGGTAAGTGAATAGTATATTCTATTTCTACTTTAAAATTTTAGAGAAAAGAACACAGGCCGGGACATTCAGAGACCTCTCCCGAGCACCCTCTAAAATAGCACTCCTGTCCCTACATCACCTTCTATCCTCTTACATTTTTTCCCTAGGACTTACTCACACCTGCCATAGTATTAGCTATCCTCACTAGAACGTGACTTCAAAGGCAAGGGACTCTCCTGTTTCACTGCACCATCTGTACCTAGCACAGAAAATAAGAATTCAAGAACCTACTACACTTTACCTGTACAAACATCTACCTAGATGCTTCCTTCATACCATAAATACGCATGAAGCTGCAACTACGAACAAGGCATTGTAGAGAAAGAAGAGAAGAAGCTTAAAACGGAGTACGTGAAAGGGGAGGAAAGAGAGGTACCACATAGACCAACTGTAACATAAAGCTGACTCCAAGTGCCTCAAGTCCCAAAACAATTTCGGTGGCTAGAGAAATCACAAACACAGTGTTTTTGTTAATGTGTTACATCTCCATAGCACGTTTTGGTCAAAGACATCAATGGTACACGAGCAGGTGGTTTATAGCATGCCCTGTGAAAAGATGTTTCATCTATATGTGTATATACTAAAACTCGCAGGTGGATTTTTAAAAATATACCAGGAGGATTTACTGCTACTTAAAGAAATTCTAGGATGCTGCTCTAAGGCATGAATTTTTTCATTTGTAAGACTAATTTTCTTAATCCATTTCGCTCAAAATGGGGACAGAGTTGTAAACTAACAATATACTATTCAAAAAATGATTCAGAGATTGAGGGAAAAGAAGTACTAGTGGGCAAAGGAAATAAGTGGAAACTTTCAAAGATGTGCCCCAAGGCAGCCACATTTAAGCAGCATGTATTATTTCAAATCATTATTAAGATGGCTCAGTCAAAAGCACATGTCCATCACAGCTCTAATTCTCAAGGTAGCGTAAACAGTGTTAAAGACCAGGGGTACAAAAGGCACAGGCAAATTAAATGCTCCGACTCCTTCAGTGCTTAACAACTTGATGGCAGGGGAAACTTACCTCAACTTCATCACTTTCATTTATATCTTTATTATAACCTACAGGTGGTGGGAATCTCACATCATGGAATGGAATCTGCCTCTCTGGCTGCCAGCTGCAAATAAGCACAATTATTTAACATACTTTTCAGTTTAATGCAAACAATGACCACAGTGACCACACTGCCATCAATTTTTGGTTAAGTGTGACCCTGCTTCTCTAGTTTAAAGAAGCAAATGCTTTAAAACTGTCAGTGTCTTGCTGAGCGGGGATAACGGCACTATAGAGACATTTCCACAAAGTCTGCATGCAGCACAGCAGCCTCGTAGTCCCATTTGGAATATTTCTCCAAACACAACAGATCAATATTACAATTTCCCAAACAAGTCTTTCTTCCAATAATTTCAACCTCTAAGGATTGTAAACGTAAGGCCACAACAGGAATACCATTTGATGCTTAAATTAAATGTTAGTATCAGTAAGTGTTAGTAATATCATCACCATACTTATACTTGCAAAGGAATTTTAACCACATTCCAGTGACCACAGAAACTGGTCCTAAATGCCCTCTAAATCCAAAGCAAAATAGGGCAGTCAGCAGATTAGCAATTCATAACTCACTTTTCCCCATTTAAATTTTAGATCCCGCGAGGTGGTCAATTCTTGCCATGGATAGCTGGCTGCTGATCAGTATGACGTACCAGTATGCACTGGCCTGGTGGGATCGCCTAAACCACAGAAACCCGATGGAGACAGCCTATAGGAGTTGAGTAAGTTGCCTATGCTTTTTTAAATTTAAAATGATACGGAACGCTTTTGAAAAATACCTAATTATTCTTTTATATCCACAATGATATAAAATATTAAAAGACAAACTTGGCAAAAACACTGGAGGACTCACCTGCTGAAGCAGCCATTTCTGGGTTTCCGCTAAAAGGCTTTCTTAGGAAAATCCTAGTGAGAAAATGGCTTTTTTTTTTTTTTAAGAAGATCTATTATATAAGATAGGAGGGTAGGTAATTAAGTCAGAATTTATGGAAATGTGATTAGGGCCTATATAAGACTGAACCCTTTCTCTGAATTATTATACACACTTAAAAACTATGCAACTTAAAAAAATCGTCTTAACTTCAGAAAAGCCTTCTTATACTTACTGAAAATTAGTGACTTTTAATATGTTACAAATTCATTGCTAAATTTGATTTGTAAAGCATAAAATAATACATAATTTTCTTGGTTCCAAAGGAAGGATTATTTTTTAAGTCTTAAGTGTATAGAGATAAAAAAATCAAATTCTTCATTCAAAAATGTGAAACATGGAAGGTAAAAACAAAGCATCTGAAATAATTTGTATTATAGTAATAGGAGTTTCTAAAGAAAAGGTAAATATAGTCTGAAGTTCTATAAAACATCAGCTTTTTTTTTAAAGATTTTATTTTTCCTATTTCTCCCCAAAGCCCCCTGGTACATAGTTGTATGTTTTTCTTAGTTGTGGGTCCTTCTAGTTGTGGCCTGCGGGATGCCACCTCAGCACAGCTTGATGAGCAGTGCCGTGTCCGCGCCCAGGATTCAAACCAGCGAAACCCTGGGCCACTGAAGCGGAGCGTGTGAACTCAACCGCTCGGCCAAGGGGCCAGTCCCGAGCTTTTTTTTAACACAAGCTTTTTTTTTTTTTTTTTAACAGAAAAACAAAAAGGAAACACACAAGGAAAGGCAAAGAGACTACTTTGGTAGGGGCCTATCAAATCCTGGTGATGTACTCAAACCCAGTGCTGAACGGCAAACACAAGGGAAAACAGTTGATCTATTTCAGATTCCCAGTATGACAGATAGCTTGAAGAGAAACTTTTACAGAGCTATGGGATATGGAGAGAATTAGGAGGTCCAAAGACAGAATAGTTATAAGTTTACAGTAGAAATCTGATTGAAAACAGAACTGATCTGACAAATCCGTGTATAAAATAGACATTCTTAAATGCATAGAGGAAATGAGTGTTTGATTAATATTTTAGATTAAGGACTACAGAAGAAACTAAGAGTGGCAAATAAAGATAACTCTCCGTTTATGGCAAACTGTGTTTACCTAGTGATGGGAGCAAGCAGATAAGAGTGTAATTACAAGAAAAAAATTCCTCTCCACATTATCAAAGATCCCTCCGTTAGAGGTGTGAAGCTGTTGTCTAGTGTATAACCATGGTTATTTGAAATAGCAAAGAGGCAGACTCTGGAACTTTTGGTTCTATGTATTCAGAGGAAGGTATTCTATTATTCAAACTTGCATTTTGGACTCAGATTAGTAGTCTAGAGCTGGGAATAGGGTTGGATACGCTAAATCCTTTTCTCTCTCTCACCCTAAATGTGTTTCAGGCATCTGAGAATACTACTTTGTCCTGTTGGTAGCTAAAAGACTCTGCTGACAGTCTCATTACAGTATGTCTGGGTCAGATACTATATTTTAACAGATTTATTAAGATACAATTCACATACCATATAATCCATCCACTTAAGTGTATGTACAATTCAATGGTTTTAAGTATATTCACAGATATGTGCATCCATTACCAGTCAACTTTAGAACATTTTCAACACTCAAAACGAAATCTCATACTCTTTAGCTATGGCTCCCCATTCCGAAGCAATCACTAACCTATTTCTTCTCTCTACAGACCGGAAATATGCTTCTGATATACTATTAATTCTCGTGGTGCATAAAAGCCAATACACTATAATTGTTGACCATTCTTCAGAGTTCAGTAAAATCCTAAGATCATGACCATATCTACACTTTGGCTAAGGAGTTTACACATACTTTAGAATCTTGAAAAGCTACTCTGAAAAATGCCTTTATTAGCATTCAGAAAATTCAGTCAAGAGACTTGTCCCTCCAATAAAATGTTAACATCTATACTACTGATGCCTTCATATAGCTCATGTTCATGGGCCTGTATTTTTATTTACTCATCTAGCAGAAGAAAGCAGAAAAGATCAGTTACCACTATTATTGATTATAAATATATGAACCAGATAAAAAATAAGTCAACAGGTAAACATGATTATTTCCAGTAAAATACACTAGACAACCAAAACCATCGATTTCAGACTTAACATTACAAAACTCACATCGTTTTTACCAATAAATATGAAATCCATTCATTTTCGTCTTTTAAAAATTACAAATATTCCTATTAAAACTCTCTTACTAATACAGAAGAATTTGGTTTGCTTTCTTTACATCCAAGGGGACTGAGATGTAAGCATCAAGACTATACAAAAGGGATCTCTAAGGTCACTAGCAGAAACAGTCATTCCATTGGTTTAATATTGAGTTGTTCAGGAACTTCCTGGTCAGTAACACGAAGATCCATTCCTGAAAAAACACTCAAACTAGGCTTGAATTTTTAAAATGAGGAGTAACTAGAATAATTAGCATAAAATAATAAAGAACCTGAACATTAAAATTATACATAGACACTTACTTGTTTTCAAATGCAACTGTTATTGAATCTTCATGAACATCCTTTACAAACGCCTGTAAGAAAAACACCACAGTTAAATTAACTTCTAATCTTCAAAATCATTTTTGTTTTTAGTCACATTTTACAAACATACCAAAACATTTTAAGAATAAAATGGAGTCTTAAACGAAAGCTTGTCAGTTTGTGAGGATCACGCACTCATGAACCACATCTGTATTTAGCCACCTACTATGTGCTAGGCGCTAGGAATACGGATTAGTTAAAACAAAACATGAAAAAATTGCTCCAGAATTCAGCATCGAAGGGGGCGGGGCGAGAGTGGAGGTGGGCGAGAGACAGAGATAGAGACAAGTCAATTGAAAATTACAATGCACGTGGTGAGTGCAAAGCTGGAGGTATACTTTACGCTAGAATTACTGGAAACTAAGAAACTTGTTCCAGAGACATATGCCAGCCACTATAGATCTGTTGTAACCTATCTTTTTTCTCCTTAATAAAATTTTAGGAAAACACAATAGTAAATGACTAAATATAATCTCAAATCTATGTATCCAAAAGTACACTTAATTTTCCTTAACAACAATATACTGCTAATACTACTAAAAAGTCCAATTACCAGAGTTTAATTAAATTCTCAATCTCATGAGCACTTGGAGAAAAAAATAGTAATATGAAGTGCAGAGGTTTAAATCTTTTAAATCTGATGACGCAATTGCTGGTAATCTGCAGAAAGACATAACAAAAGTAATAGCTAACTAATTATCAAGAATTCTTTAATCAGCATGCTGTCTGTAATTCTATAAAGTGACATAAAAGTAATAGCTAACTAATTATCAAGAATTCTTTAATCAGCATGCTGTCCGAAATTTTATAAAATTAGGTCTTTAATAGGTGCAGGAAAGGAGGTTTTGTTTGTGTTTTGACAATTAGAGGACTAGGATAAAGCATAAAGAAACCCAAGGGGCTTTATATCCTAATTCATTTTAAAATGGCTTGAGAGATTTAAGCTTCCTACTCAAATTAGTTCTGTACGTTTCTCTCCTCCTGTGGTTTCTCCCTGCCTGGATGGTTACGGCCAAACTCCTTCTCCAGCTGTAAAAGACCCTTCATGACCTGGCCTGCTGCTCACCTCTCCAAGCTTCATCTCTCACATCCTCGGAGGCTGTGATTCAGCAAAGCTAAACTACCTGGGCCTCTCTCCTAAATGCTGTTCCTTCTTTCCTATTGCCCTTCCCCTCTTTCCAGCTAGCTATCTCCTATGGTCTTTTAGGTTTCAGTTTAGATGTCTCCTCCTATGGGAAAACCCAGAAGACTAGGTTAAATTCTGTCCTCTGCATTCCTATAGCATCCTATACTTATCCCTACTATAAACACCTCACTATAGTATTATTGCCCATTTTCCCTCTACCAGTAAGTTTCCTGAGGGTGGGTGACAGGTTTGATTTTATTTACTGTTGGACTTGAGTGCCTACTAAGAACTCAATGAACAGTTAAGTGGATCATTGCCTAAGAGGTTCCTATCCTAGCCGTGGAGGAAAGGTATGTGGGGGGTGGGGTGGGGGTATGTTGATCAGGGAAGACATACTGAAGAAGGTGAGGTTCCTATCAAACTTTAAAGGCTGAGGAAGAATTAGCCAAACAAAAGGGACTGGAGGTAGGCGAGGCACACCAGGCTTAAGAAGCAGCAGGAACAAAGGCTTAAACCTGGAGAAACAGCTTGAGGCATGGTAGAAATAAATCCTTTGTGGACAAGGAAGCGAAGACGACAATTCAATGGGGAAAAGAACAATATTTTCAACAAATGGTGCTGGGACAACTGGATATCCATGTGCAAAAGAATAAATTTTGACCCTTGCTTTATATCATATATAAAAATCAACTGAAAATGCATCAGAGACCTAAATGAGCTAGAGGTATAAAACTCTTAGAAGGGGCCAGCCCAGTGGTGTAGTGGTTAAGTTCGTGCATTCCACTTTGGTGGCCCAGGGTTCATGGGTTTGGATCCCAGGTGTGGACCTACACATTGCTTGTCAAGCCACGCTGTGGCAGTGTCCCACACGCAAGATAGAGGAAGACTGGCACAGATCTTAGCTCAGGGCCAGTCTTCCTTACAAAAAACAACTCACAAAATAACCTCTTAGAAGGAAACATAGTAGTAAAGCCTCATGGCTTTGGATATTGGGAGGATAACTACTTCAGATTAAGATTATTCTTTAACTCCTGGATCCTCAGTAACTGGTACAATTTCTGGTATATAGTAGGTGCCCAATAAGTTTGTTAAACAAATGATTCAATGCAAATGTAAATGTCTTGGTAATCCAATACTTCTTCAAAGGCCCAAGGCTAAAGGATTTTTTCAAAACTAGAACTTTCCAAAATATCAAATTAAAACATTATCAGTCAAGTATTAATTAGCTGCTCCTAAGAAAAACAATGACAGGGACGCAGGGCCCTGGAAAACATTTATTTGGAAGCTAGATAAACAGAGACACCAAACTTGTGCAATCATGCTTACAGGAATAAAAGTAAAGCTATACTAAAACAAAGTTTCCTTGTAAGATCAAGGTGGGCTAGAATGGAATGCAGGTGTTCTGCTATACCCAAGATGGCTGAATTATGGTTTCTAAGTTAAGCATCTTTATAGTTGCTGGTTTAAAGGGGAGAAAACCGATATTTTCTTCCCATCATTTTGATCTTATTTTTCCCCAGCTATATTTAAATCATGAACATTTTCCACAGATATTTTGAGAACTCTAGCTTAATACTGACCATATTTTAGAATATAGATTTCCTAAGGGCGCATGCATGCCCTCAGTGCCCTAAGGTGGTGTTTGCCTCACTATTATTTCAGCAACAGAAAGGTCTCATTTTGAGTTAAAGTTGCAGGAATTGGTTGCTCTTAGTTTTATAAAGTAAGTCCCCAAAATTATGGTGAATGGGAAGAGGAACAGACCTCCTCCCACCCCCAGCCTCATTTCTGCCTCGTCTTTACATGATGGCTGATACTAAAGTGACGATGTGCTTTCTAGGGGTGGGATTAGATTAAGGACTAAAATGAAGACTCCTATTAGGAGATGATCTTTTATTTACCCAGAAAGGCCACTGCTTCTGTTTTCATCCCTGTCTAAAAAGTTCTATGTTTGCATGTCTTGGCAGTAATTAATAGTAGTTCCTTACTGTATATTATATGCTGAAAATGTTAAGTCCTTTAATCAGCTAAGAGAACCTTGTTACAGCTGGGTGAAAAACTGTTCTCACTATATTAGGTGTCTTTCCAATACTATTGCCCTTGTCTAAAACTGTGCTGTGCACCATAGCAGCCACCAGTCATATGTGACTATATTTAAATTAATTACAATTAAATAAAATTAAAAATGAGTTTCCCACTCATACTTGCTACATTTCCAGTGCTCAATAGCCACACGTGGCTTAGTGCCTACTGTAGTGGACAGCACAGGCAGAAATCATTTCCATCATCACAGAAAGTACTACTGGACAGCACCAATTTGTTAAAAATGTTGGGGACCATTTTCAAACTCACCTTAAAAGCACTCTAAAAGTCAGTCTCATTACTTCATTGCTATATTCTTTTTTCTATTTGCCAAAAAGTTATTGCACAGTTTAATCATACTCACTCACCACATTTGCCTATTTCCTAAAATCAAACATTCCCTCAAAAGAGGAAGATCTGCAACTTTTACGACTATTAAAAAAAAAAATCTTTTAAAGGCTCTGAAAGCAATTCCGGATGCAGAGTGTCAGAAACAGTTTGAGTAATCATTGCAGCCTACCAGGGCCACAGCCTTCGAGTTAACGAGGCTTATCTGTATATGGATGTTTGCATGATTGTTCCAAAACCAGTCATTTTTCATCACTGTTTGTATATTAAGTGAATACAGAAGGCATGCAATACCTTCTTCGTTGCTGCTATAATAAATGGCATAAAAGAAACTCATCAGTTGCGTCTGGCCTGCACTCACACCAAGGACAAACGCCTCCTGTGACTTCTATCTAAGACCTTTTACTAAACCGTCACTTCCAACATGAGTCCCATCCTCCTGCTTGCTTCTCATCATCCTTTCTCCAATATCTCTCCTTTTAGCCCTGCCCCTTCCTCACCACAACACTCATTTCCTCCTTCCCCAGCCACCTCCTGAGCACTGTCACCCTACCCACCACCAATTTGGAAAACTACATTTTGTTGTGATCACTACCTATCTACATCATGCGAAGCTGGTGTTTGGGGAGAAGATAGGTTCAGGGGATTCCAAAGAAGGGAGATGGAATGGGTTTGAATGAATACACAAAGGGAGCTGCACCGTACTGAATGAGAGCTAGGGCTCTTATAAGAGCCAGTAACCTTAGTGGTCAGCAATTTTGCTGTGAATGAGACGTAGGTTCAAAATCTTGGTTCTACCACATAATAGTTGTGGGACTCTCCAAGAAGTGGTCTCTGGGCCTTAAATTTCTCATCTGCAAGTAAGGAATGGATACATGGGAATTGGACCTGCCGTCAAAGGTTGTTGTGAATAATGAAATCACACATGTTTAATACCTAGCACAATGTCTGGCACATAACGGGCACTAAATAAATGAGAGGTAAAGCAGAGAGGGGCATATTTTATAAAAGATGCAGAACCATAAATGCTCCTGCATTTGAGAAAACTACATCTCAACAAAAGCACTTAAAAAAAGATTTAAAAATTGGGACAGAAAAAGAAAAGGCTGTTTCCTGAAAGATACTAAACACTAAAAGGTTATTTAGACTCTGAGAAGAAAAAATGTGATGAAAATCTTTGGGGTTTGAGAAAGGTGCTAAAGTGTGAAGAGAGACACAGCCTCCTCATCAGGGGGTATATACAGGAAATCAAAAAATCATTATGAGATTTCCCAACTTACGGACAACTGAGCCAAAGAGGCAATCACAAAATCATACTTACCAAAGAATGCAATGACTCGAGATATCCAACTCAAACTTTCCCTTACCAGGACTGACGAAACTAACGAAAGTCCATCCCTATCTGAGTGAATCTTACTCCGCCACTACAACTCATACCCCCCCAGCTTAGTAAGCTCTCTCACAAATATGAGTGACTAACCTATATATAGGTTATCGTGTAAAGAAATTTCAATGTAAGCCTCTAACCACCACTGAACACAATTACATTATCACTGAAGACAGCACACGTAGAGCGATAATTCTCAAGGGAGAAAACTAGAGCATTGTAAAATATCCCTCCTAAAGAAAACCTATAGGATATAGAGGATAGGGACATGTGAAATGTGATAAAATACAATTGAAGGCTTCACATATAAAGCAAGTTATCGCTTTGTCACCCTTTGTATGTGACCACTAACAATGGAAGGGAATGAACAACCGAAAGGGAAAAGTACAATACGCCACATCAACAGCCCTGCCCACCCCAGCGCATGTCTGGGAATACTAGACTTCACTTGGGCATTTACCAAAAATTCTGAAAAAAATGCCTTCTTTCCGGTTTACCCTGACCCAAAGACAACACACAGGTATAGAGAGAATAGTATTAAATGAGTTATTAATTTTCTTGTATGTATTGTAACTTTTGAATGTTTCAGTTCTGATCTGCTCCCAGTGTAACAAAAGCAAATTTCATAGCAGAGTCAAAGATTTCTAACTTTACCTTTCCTTAGTGGGCTTCCATAGGAAGAATTACAGTGTGCCACATCAAGGCACGGGAGTGAATAAAAAGGAAGCTAATACATAAGCTGAATATTTCATGACATCTTTGTATCAACAGTAAAAAACGGTAATATAAACTTGCAACTGTACTTATAAAAAGCTAAGGCAGTGTGACAGTCACAAGTACAAAGATGACAACGCAATGCAAAAAATGGGCAGGAACTCAAATCCAAGCCATTTCTTCAAGCTAAGTTTCATCATTTCAGGAAGTCAGAGTACTGATCTCAAAGCCCAGGTCAGACCCTTACTAGCTCTAACACTTAGCAGTAAGTCACTTACCTAATCTCTCTGTACATCTACGTCCTCACCCATAAAATGAGAATAACAACAGCACCTCAGGATTGCGGGAGAGGGTGAAATAAACAAACAGAAGAACAGCACCTCAGGATTGCGGGAGAGGGTGAAATAAACAAACAGAAGTCAAGCACCTAGAACAGTGCCTGGCGCCTGTTAACAGTTATCATAATCATGATCATGGTCATCGCAGGAAGCACATTCCCAACGTGGGCAGGAATCGGAAACCCAATTATTATACCACTGATTTTTGCACTTAATAATTTGGAGGTTTTCAGAATGGATGAGTACGAAGTTGGAAAATGCACAGTTCAAAAGGGAAAAAATGATGCTTCCACAAAGATATTAAACACTAAAAAGGTTATTTAGACTCTGTGAAGAAAAAAAACTGTGGCTGACCTGAACAATACATTTCCTCAAGTAGAGACCAATCCCTGGATGGAAAGTTATATGTAGAGACTTCAGAGAAAACATACATAGTGTCTTACGCAAGTATATTTGTAGTAGAACAGTGGTTTCTAGCAGGCTATTTAGCTAACATGACATGTTGGGCTACTAAGGGCTTTATTAAAAAAAATTTCCTCTTGACTGTACATTTTATCATATTTAGCTGCTGGCTCCATAGTACTGCTCACCAAATTAAAGTCTGTCCTCAGATACCAAACTTAAAAACATACGCTGTAATAGAATATAATCTAACAATAAGAATGCAATTTAGCATATTTACACCATATTACAACAATGAATCAGATGCCAGTCACTATATTTTCAGAAAATGAAAAGGTGTTGTATCTTATGTTTCCAACATACAATTTATCCATCTTTGGCAATTCATACTAATATACAAAACCTAGGAATCTTAGGATATACTAGTGCATACATTCATATTAGAATGACATACATTCTACATCTACAATGGAGTTAATTCATTACCATTCGCAATAAATCAAAACTTTAGTCCGGAAAAAATCCACTACACTATTTTAGGCAGATTTCCCTAGAATAAAGAACTTATTTCTACATTATTCATTTAGGAAATGTTTTGTGAAGATTTCGTGAGGTATAATGCAAGTGTCTTCATGTCTTAAAATAACATAAGGCTCTATAAGTTGTACATGCGACTTTTTCTAAGTCAAAGAAAGACCTAAGCATAAAAGTAGTGGCTCTGACAACTACTAAATCTAACTGTCAAGTGTTTAAGAATAAACACCAGAGGGAAAAATAGAAATGAGCTGTTACAATCTGAGGGTTTAGGTCTCATGGTTCCGTTAACTCTGAATCCTGAGTTTGAGTTATTTTTTAGAGAAAGAATCCAACTGTTCCCAGCATATACTCTATCCAGTTTACACTGCAAACTTGGACCCTGCTCTCAGAAGATGGAGAACTGTCCTTTGCAATATGGTGGTTCTGTAAGGCAAATCAAAGTCTGAACTCAATTATATTGAAGTCGTTTGAGTTGTTTAGTTTTTAAAAGCTTTTCTATCAATTTGATGAACCAGGGTCCTATTTTTTCCCTAAATGTAACATTTCTCCAGAACAGTTCATTTTTCATTGGTCTTTATTTCCCATCTTTTCTGCCCATCCCAGGGGACAAGGAACTCAGTTTACTTTTGCTTTACTTTTCTAACTCACAGCAATATTGAGTCATATAAAAAATCAAACCTTTTTCATTACAGAAACTATTTTTCCACCCATACAGACCATCTGAGGTATTCTTAAAAATAAACCTTAATTAAATAAACATAACGGCAATTTCTCTATACACACTGAAGTTTCACATTTCCCCTCAAGTAACTAAAAGACAATCCAGTCTTTTTATTCACATTCAAATGAAACGACTCTGTTAAAAAACAAAAACAGGGGCGATTAATAGCAAAGATAGAGGTCATTTCTTATATTCCAAGCAGTTTGCAAGCAAAATCACGGAAGCAAATCATAGGTTGCTGGAAGAGAACAATAAACCCTTCAAGACCAGGATGTGCTACCTGCCCTCTATAGCAAGCTAACTCCACCAAAAGACAGTAAAAGTGGCGTCCAACCTAAGCTAATATCACAGACCTATTAGAATACTGCTCAACCATTAGCCCCTGCTCATATTGACTATAGCTAACGCCACAAATCTACTGAGTAAAACTACCAACCTAGGAACTAGAACGATTCTACACAAAGCAGCAGAAATTGCGCATCACTGAAATAAATGCAAGTAAAATTTTGACTGCAAAGTCAACTGAAACAATTTTATACTGGTAAGACTCTTAAGAACCTAACTGCTGGGTTATTTTTTTCTCCTTTTACAGCCAAAGGTTTCGTCTTTTTGCTAAAAGTATGGAACAGTTTACATATTTTACTCACTTATGAAATATACTGATCTCCAAAATCTCCATAAAATTAGTAAACACATATATAGTTAAGTCAACTGTTTATTTTCCTATAGCCAAACGAGTCTCGTTTGAAACGTTTCAGTTATCCTATAATAAACTGAAGAACTGTGTCGGACAACGGCAATAGCTAATTTCCATGTTTCCTTCCATACGCACCTTCTATTGCCAAAATACTGTAGTAAGGTGAGATATTACTTACAGAAGTTACAGAGGGACATTCAAGAGGAAATGAGAATTTACAGATTACTAGATCTACAGTAAGTACATACCAACAGAAGCACTACAAATACATCAAAATATTTTTAATCCTCTTTTTGAAAGTATAAGATCTTAGTCGATTTGCAAGGGTGCAACTTAAAAAAGAAAAACCCACAGTAAAACCACGAATGCCTATTTAAAACCTCAACAACACAGTCCACTGCAATACTACTACACACTCAGAAACGATAGGTACTTGGAACACAAAACAATTATTTCAACTCACTTTTTAAAGTTCCCTAGTAATAATATACTCCCAGTTTACTTCCTGAAGTTTCACGGCATATATGCAGCCCTTTTGAGGGTTAAAATTTTTTTTTCTTAAGTAGCAAAGAGTTGCTAATGTTTTTAGATGCTGAAGCATCTGTATTGCTGAATCTGCCCACATTCATAATAAGGGGGGGAGGCTGCGAATATTCAAGATTGCCAACTTCTTTAATGCATTACTGGGATACGTCAGGGTCTTCCTGAAACTTTTGGATCTAGAATCTCTCCTGAAATCCACAAAGAGAGGCCACTAAAAATCAGTTGCCGCTGTGATTTGGTACTGACGACAGCTTCTTACTACTCTCTCTTCACATCCCTTTGCCCAGAACAGTGGAGCTCTCCGAAGTCCCAACGCTGGACCGGAAAAAGAGAAGCCAAAGGAGATCTCAAACCCTCTTTGCAAGGCAGGAGGCGGCTCGACGGAAGCACCCCCAGCTCCTCAGCAACTACCCACACGTCAGGCCCGGATCCCACTTGCAGAGGATATTCAGGAAAAGAGAAATAAGCCGTCGCCGTCACCCCGCGCGGATACTGGCCCTTCTCGCCAGGATCTCTTACCTGCCGCCGGCCCTCGCCCATCCGCAGCGCTCCCAGGCGGGGCTCGCCCCCGAAAGGGCACCCTCTTCTCCTTGCCCGCTTCTCCTTCCGATAGGCGCCTGGGCCTCTCGTAGGAGACAGCGGGGCTCGAGGGGCTTCCTGCAGGCCCCGAGCCCGCTCCTTCCCTCCCAGACAACATCCCGCCCAGCGCGCCCCGGCTCCCGGGCGCGGCGTCGGGAAGAGGGCCCCAGGCCTGCCTCCCGCCGAAGCCGAGAAGAAAAGGGAGGGAAAGAAGGGCGAAGATGGGGCCTGCCCTGGAGCCAAGTACCTTGTAGAAAGCGCCATTGGAGCCCCGCACTTCCACCACCAGCTCCTCCATCTTCTCGTCGGCCCTGCTCACGCCAGGAGCCCGCCCCCGAGAGGTGGGCTGCGGGCGCTCGAGGCCCAGCCGCCGCCGCCGCCGCCGCCGCGCTGCCGCACGCCCCCCGGCAGCGGCGCCGCCGTCACCGCCGCCGCCCGCGCTCGCCGTCGGCTCACCGCCCGCTCAGAGGCGGACCCTCACCGGAAGTGAAACCGAAACGGAGCCGAGCGCCTGACTGAGGCCGAAGGCTCTGGCCGTTCCGCGTGTAAACAGTGAAACCGCGTCACGTGACCGACGCCGCCCCTCCCCCCGCGGGCTCAGCCCCTCGGCTCCGCCCTCTTTCTCCTCGCGGGCCCAGGAGCGCGCGCATGCGCGCTGCTGGGAACCGGCCGGGGGGCCGGGCCCAACGTAAGGCGCGCGGGCTCGGCGTGCGCGGGCTCGGCGGAGGGCGGGAAGGCGGGAAGGGCGGCGACGGGTCGCGGTTCTGGCCCAGGTTGCCCCCCTTCGCGTTGGCCAGCGAGGGCCAGAGCGCCAATTTCTGTAGGGAGAAGTCGGAGGCCTGGGAAAGTGCCTCCCGTAGCGATTAAGTGTATTCATGTATCCGAATCCTGCTGGCTGTCTTGGGTTGGAAGTTTTCTTTTTGAAGTGGGGCAGAGTCTGATTGAGCTGGAGGTGGAGTGGGGGACAAGAATAAAGGTGAAATGTTAGATTGGAGACTTTGAATTAGTAACAGTGGCAACCACGGTGACCCAGGCTTTTGTGAGCCTTAGAGGTAGAGGATGAGAGTAACGCCGCCCCCACCCCAGGAGATTTTAGGCTGCATTTGACACATCCTGTGTCCTCTGACGGACAATGGATTGTGTCAGGACCTCTGTAGATGTTAGTCCTTCCTCAGACCCAGCACTGACCCATATACGTCCCTCCTCTCCATTCAGTTTCGTACTTTTACTTGACATACGTAAAAATAAAGTGTTAAACACTTGTTAGTTTCTTTACAGTTTATTTCCCTACTGTCTCGCTCCTCCTGTATAGTCACTCTGTACCAAAGGCTGGGGTAGGCATGTGTAGAGCAGCCAGGGGACGTATCTACAGGGGCCCTTCACCTGTTTCCTTGCAGCTCTCCCTGTTTTACTCCCCACAGGAGAACAAACTGCAACTCTTCCTCTTTTGTGCTTCTGCACTGTTCTTGTATCCACCTTGACTTAGGTTTCCTTTGGAAAGCTTGTAAACCAACTGAGAAGCTTATTGAGCCCCTACCATATGCTAGGCACTGTGCAAAGTGCTGGTGAGACATTGGTGAAGAAAAATGAAGAAAGACAAGACTGCCAGCATTGAACTTGGATGCTAGACACGTAGACGGACATAAATCAAATTACCAGAAAAGTAAATGTGGAGTCGCAGCTGTGATAAGGGCTATGATGAATAGGTACACCTATGATAGTAGGAAAGGACCCAGTCTAGGGTAGGGGAGGAGTGGTCAGAGCTGGGCAATGACTCCAGCTGGAATGTGACCAGTAAGAGTTAACTGGCAGCACTGAGTTGTTGGAGGCGGGGTGAACTGCCCCAGGCAGGCGCCCCAGAATGTGAGGCATCCGTGGACCTCCAGTTCCCCTCCAACCCCACTCCTAGCCAAAGCAGCAGTGTTATTGCTGACGGAGTTCCAATTTTAAAGCAGCGGATCAAGGGCCACATTCCTTGAGGCCGCAGTAAACAGGAATGACCCATTGGACCAGGGTTTCTGGAGTAGTCACAAGATGCAAAAACCCCAGTAGGACTGAAGGGGAACCTCACGATAGGCTGGGTGGGAGCAGAGCGTGATCTTTAACCCCAGTGTAGTAAAAGGGGACAGATTTATTAGAATGATTATACCTTCCACGTGTAGGGTGTTGTTCAGTTTACCCAGGGCTTTCAAAGATTATCAGCTCTTCACAACCAGTACAAGCCACACTGAACCTGGTGCTATTCCCTGAACCTGTGAGGCACTTTCATGCCTTCATGTCTCCACACATGCTTCCTGGTCCCCAGAAATACGTTTCTTTAGGGTCATCAGCTGGGTTCCTATTAGCGCGTTGTTTTTACTTCAGGTGCAGAGAGTTGAGTTAACTTTGCTCCTCAATTCTCAGCACATTGCCATCACCGGTCCCTGCAAGACCCCCTCTTATTTGTATTATTTTATATTGTTTATATTATTTTTCCTCGTCTTTCTCAATCCCCACTCTCATTCTCTTTCTAGACACCTGAAATCTGTTTGATGTAGCTCCTTGATAGTTTAAGACATGCAGTGTTTTGCGTATGCCTTTTGCATTTACAGAGGTGGTATTGGACTGTGAATCTGTTTCCCACTGTTTTCATTCAGCACCACGTTCTTGAGCTATATCCACGTTGCTGTGTGTACACCTAGTTTTTGGCTTCTAACTGCTGCTGAGTATTCCATAAATTGTATTGATACATTTCCCTAGTGATGGGCGTCTAGGTTACTGGCAACTCCCTGATGTCACACTGTGGTGAAAACGCTTGTGAATGTCTTTACAAACCTTTGCACGAATTTCTTTTGTGCTCTTAGAAACTTTGTACGTTACGTACCTCCTGCTTCCTCACCACACTGTTTAGCATATAGCAGGGCCTCAGTAAATGTTGAATACCTCTTCTATGACGCTTACTGTATTGGAATCACTTATTTATATTTCTGTTTCTCTCATTGGACTGTGAGTTGCTCGGGGGGAGGAAAGAGGCCTTTCGCTTTGTGTCCCTGGCACAGAGTTAGTTGCTCAAGCCTAAAACTGAGTCATTTTGACCCTCTCTTTCTCTCACACATCTCTTCCATCAGCAAATTCTTTCAGAGACCGTAATCTACTTCTCACCACTTGCACTGCTAAAACCATGGTCCACGCCCCCATTCTCTCTCACCTGGATTATTGCAATGATTTTGCTGGTCTCCCTGCAGCCACACTTTTTCTCTGTCTAGTTTCAACACAGAAGAGAGAGGGACCCTATTCAGGTGTCGTCAAATCACTCTCCACTCAAACCCCTCCAATTGTTCCCTAAATGCCCGAGGGTTAAAGCCAAAGTCCTTATTTATTCTGGCCTCAGTGCCCTACCCACATTGGCCTCTGTTATCTCCTCTATCTCGCCTTCTACCTTCCCCCTTCGCTCCATTCCAGCAATACTGGCTTCTCTGCTACTTCTTGAAAACATTAGGCAGGTTCTGTCTGTCTCTATCCCCTAGAATGTAAGTTCAGTGAGAACAGATGTTTTTGTTTCTTTTATTCACTGTGTCCCCAGTGCCTACCACAGTGTTTGGAACGTAGCAGGTGCTTACTGAATATTTATTGAATGAATGAATGCGTTGAGGACCCAGCTTAGGTCAAGTCTGCTCCCATGGCCTATATTTATCTGATATTGGAATGATGCTTCAGCATTTCTAGCCTTGCCTTGCCCTTAGCTTCCATTAAATTGCTGCCTCTTGTCTTTGCATTGATTTATTCTGTGTTATTTCCTGCTCCTTCGCAATTTGAGCCCTCTGAGTCTTTTTCCTGCCTCAATCCCAGCTGAAATGCCCTTTGTCCTTTCCAACTCTAGACATCCTGTGTACCCTCTAGGACCCAGCTAAAACCTTACTTCTTTCATGACACTTTCTCAGACAATTTCACCTCACTTTGACTTCCTTGAAGTAGATATTAGAAAAACAAATTAAATTAATAGTCTTTATGTTTTAGGACAGTTTTAGATTTACAGGAAAATTGAGCAGATAGTAGAGGGTTCCCATGTCAGTTCCCTGATGCCTCCCTCCCAGTTTCCTCTGTCATTAACACCTTGCATTACTGGGGTATATTTGCTATCATTGACGAGCCAATATTGAGACCTTATTATTAACTAAAGTTCATAATTTACACTAAGGGTCACTCTTTGTGTTGTATATTGTATGGGTTCTGACAAATGCATATGGTGCCTCCACCATTACAGTATTATATAGAATAGTTCCCCCACCCTAAAAGTCCCCTGTGCTCCACCTATTTATTCATCAACTCCATCTGCTAACCCTTGGTAACCACTGATCTTTCTACTGTCTTCATAGATTTGCCTGTTCCAGAATGTCTTATAGTTGGAATTATACAGTATGTAGCCTTTTCAGATTGACTTCTGTCACTTAGCAATATGCGTTTAAGGTTCCTCCATGTCTTTTCATGGTTTGATAGCTCATTTCTTTTGAGTGCTGAATAATTTCTATTGTCTATTCTATTATATTGTCTGGATGTACCACAGTTTATTTATCCATTCACCTACTGAAGGACATGTTGGTTGCATCCAGTTTTTGTCGATTATAAATAAAGCTGCTGTAAACATTCGTGTGCAGCTTTGTGTGGACATAAGTGTTTAACTCATTTGGGTAAATACCTAGGATTGAGATTGCTGGATCATGTTGTGACTATATTTGGCTTTGTAAGAAGCTTCAAGCTGTCTTCCAAAGTGGCTGTACCGTTTTGCATTCCCACCAGCAATGAATGAGAGTTCCTGTTGCTCCACATCCTCCACAGCATTTGGTGTTATCAGTGTTTTGAATTTTGGCCATTCTAATTGGTGTGTAGTAGAATTTCATTGTTGTTTTAATTTGCAATTCCCTAATGACTTATGGCATTGAGTATCTTTTTGTATGCTTATTTGCCATCTGTATATCTTCTTTGATAAGGTCTCTGCTCAGATCTTTTGCCCATTTTTTAATTGGGTTGTTTTCTTATTGATGAGTTTTAATAGTTCTATGTATGTTTTGGATACCAGCCCTTTATCAGATTACGTTTTGCAAATATTTTCTCCCAGTCTGTGGCTTGACTTTTCCTTCATGTAACAGTGTCTTTCACCGGGCAGAAGTTTCTAATTTTAAAAAAAGTACAACATGCATTTTTTTCTTTCATGGATTGTACTTTTGGCATTGTATCCAAAAAGTCATCACCAAACCTAAGTTCACCTAGATTTTCTCCTATTTTATCCTCTAAAAGTTTATAGTTTTGCATTTTATGTTTAAGTCTTTGATCCATTTTGAGTTAATGTTTGTAAAAGGTGTAAAGTCTGTGTCTAGATTCTTTTCTTTTTTTTTTGCATATGGATCTCCAAATGTTCCAGCACCATTTTTTGAAAAAAGACTCGTTTCTCCATTGAATTGCCTTTGCTCCTTTGGAAATGGTCAGTTGGCTATAATTGTCTGGGCCTAATTCTGGTGTCTTCATTTTGTACATTGATCTATTTGTCTATTTTTTCA